GGTATAAAAATGTGCGTTCAAGTCCGCTCTACAGCGGCTCCCTCTGCTTGACGGGGGATACGGATCCGGATCTGACCGGGATGGGCGGTCGGGGCCTGCTGCCTGGTCGTGTGCCGATGTGGGGCTCGAGAGCCGTGACTGTTTTGCCGACATGCTCGCGCTGGCCTGCTGCGTCTGCATCGGGCGACGATGACGCGGGTGTGAGCTCAGCGGAGCCGGGTGCGGGCGCGCGCTCCTGTGCGGACGCCGTGCTTTCCGGCCTCGACGACGCGGTCGTCTGCGACTCGGGCACCACGGGCGGTGACAGCGGCGAATTCCTATACGGCAGCGGCACCGACGGCGCCCTTGCCAGCGGCGATGGCGTTCTCGGCACCGCCAATCTCGCCGCCTCCCTTGCCTGCAACCGCTCCGTTCTCCCCTCCCCCATCATCTCCACCGGACTGGCGCTGGGGATATGCTCGCCCTCCAGAAACGCATCCGACTCGGCCTCGGCCTCGAGCTTGTCGATGAGCGGATTGGTGTGGATGCCCATGGGCATGGCGACGATCTCGTCGCTCGGCGAAGGCTGGCTGAGGATGTACTGCGAGTTGGTCGTCGCATCGTTGCCCGGCAGTGCGGCGAGGATGCGCTGCAGGTCGGAGAAGAACTCGAGCCTCGGCACGCCCGCCCTCTTCCATCCACCTAGGCGCGATCCAAACGCACCGCCCACCTCCGGTCCGCCCATCTCGGCCGCATCGCCGTGCACGTGCGCCGGCGACAGCTCCACCGGATTTGCACGAAGCGATCGGTCGCGGTAGACGTGGTCCGGATGCAGCTGCTCGTGCACCGTGAGCAGCAGCCGGATCAGCTGCGCCCGATTGCTCTGGAACTCAAACAGCAACAGCACCTCGTCCAGCTTGCGCTCCAGCACGTCCCACACATCCGACGCATCCGGCTTCGGCACTGCACTCCGCCAGCGCGCACGCGCCTTCTCGGCACGCTGGCGGTAGCGGAACGAACTGCCTCCGCTCGCATGCGCTGCTTCCAGCAGCGACGGCGACGCTGCTTCGGGCATGCCAGCCTCGGTACCGGCTTCGACCGGCACGACCAGCCCGAGCGCCACAAGATCCTCGCGCCGTACCGTCTCCATGAGCGAGTCGAGCGTGATCACGCCCAGCCACAGCTTCCACAGATCCATGCGCTGCCGATCCACCTTGCACGCACGCAGCACGCGCAGCACGCGCGCAAAGTTGATCTCGACCAGCGCCTCGCGCGTGAGCTCGTGGCCCTCGGCTGGACTCTGCGCAAACGGCTCCTGCAAGCCCAACGTCGCCGGACGCGAGGTCTCGTCGTTGCCGGCCTTGAGCCCTGTGCAAGGCTCGCCGTCACCAAAGCGGACGCCTCGCGAGGCATCGAGCAGCTTCGACGGGATGGGCGGATGCGAAGATGTCGCGCCGACATCTGGCTGGGCCTCACCCTTCTTGCGTATGGCCGCAAGCTGGCGCTGCTGATACTTGCGCTCCATGGTTCGCAGCGTGGAAGCCGCAAATGCCATATCCTCGTCCTGCAGGCGATGCTTGACAAAGTGCCAGCTGATGAACGGATTGCGTGCGTCGACCCTGTTGATCTTGAGCATGGCCCACTTGTACGAGCTTGCACTCGCCGTGAGGCCGGTCGGTCCGCGCGTGCCCGCCTTGCGGTCCATGGCGACGATGCTCGGCAGCAGACTCTTGAGCTCGCGGATGGTGCCCGTAAACTCGCGCGCGTGTTTGCGCGCGCGTCGCCTCTGCAGCGGATCCTTGGCCTTGGTCGGGTCAGCGCCGTTTGACAGGCCGCCAGGCAAGCGCCGCGGCAAGAAGCCCGACGAGCCGCCGAATGCAGGCGCATAGAGCGCCTCGTCGTCTTCGCTGGAAGACAGATCCGACTCGTCGGACCCACCCAGGGGGCTTTCGCCGATGTTTTCGTCATCGCTGGGTCCAGGCTTGACACCCATCTTACCCGGCGACAGCGGTGCTTTGCCGCCGAGATCCGGCAGGCCAAGTTCCTGCGCAGGAGACGCGGCCTTTTCCTGTCCTTCCGTCGTAGGCGTCTTGCCAGCATGAGCGCCAAAGAGCGGCTTCCTACGACGGAGGCGGATCCAGCGGCGTCGACGCACAAAAGTCCAAGCGTCTGGCGAGCCGGTCCATTTGCTCGAGCGTGCGCGCGCCGTGCGCTTGAGCGCCTCGAAGCCGCCATCTTCCTTTTGCTCCTCCTTCTCGGTGCGCTTGCGTTCCTTCTCGGCGAGACGCGCGTTCATCTCTTTGATCCCCTCGACGCCCGTCTTGGGCAGACCGACTCTGCCGTGCGGGAAGTGGACGTTGGGCCAGAACCTGCGCCCAAAGTTGCCGCTGTACTGCCAGCCCGCCTCGTCGACGTCGCCGGTCATGTCGATGTACCATTCGTGATACGCCCACTCCCACGAAGGATCGGGCAGCTGTGCGTTGGCGATGTTGTACGGCGATCGCTTGCCGTTGGCCGCCGTCCAAGGCGAGGGGTCCCACTGGAAGAGCGTGCGAGGACTGAACTTTGGGATCCCAAACACCAGCAGGCCACGCTGATTCTCGTAGAGCACGTCGAACTCGTACTTGACCTTGCCCGCGTCGGACGGCGCCTGCTGCTGTGCGTGCTTGGCGAGCATCTGGTCTAACTCGGCGTCAGGGTCGGCCTTGTTGGCCTCTGCCTCTGCTGCGCGCTCGAAAGCGTCCATCTCGGCCTCCCACTTCTTGCGACGATGGCGTTTGAGCACGTTGGGTGCGTGGAGGTACTTGCGGATGCTGTTGCGCGAGCTCAAGATGGAGCGATCGACGCCGCTGAATCTGCGCGTCGGCCCGGCCGCATCTGGGTCTTGCAGATCGTCGTCTTCGCCGCCAGTCATGGAGCTCCTGCGGCTGCTGGCCATGGTGGCGACCGACTCCCTACGCTGACTGAAGGCATTGCTGCCGCGCGAGATCGACGGTGCGATGGCGGAAAATGGTGTGTTGGTGCGATCGAATCCAGCGCTCTGGGCCGAGGTGCTGCGTGGCAGGTCGGAGGTGTGCAGGGCGAGCTGCATGGGATGAGGCGAGTAGCGGTCCATGGCGCGGCGATTGCGGCTCTGGCTGGAGGCATAGTGGAGACCTTTGGAGACGCGTGAAGAGACCAGGTTGCCCAGCTGGCCTGCCTTGCCTTGCATCTGAGCGAGGTCGTCCAAGGGCTCGCCATTGGCCTTGCGGCGCCGAATCTCGCGACGGATGAGTTTCTTGCGGCGCTTGAGCTGCTCCTTTGTCAGAGTCTCGCCATGTTCGAGGCTGAGCGACTGAATCTTGAGCATGTTGTCTTGGCCGTCGTCCGAGTCGGAGGCCAAGGCGCTGTCGCCGAGCTCGTCGTCGCTGGAGACGCTCGATGCTGAAGAGCTGGGGGCTGGCGATGCGAGCGTGCGCGCTGTAAGGTCGCCCTCGGGCTCGTGCGTGTCGGGCTCGTCGTGGATGGGTCCGCCGATGAAGCTGGAGGCGGAACTGTGCGGCTGCTTGCGCTGGTCCAGTGGTGGGCGATTGCCTGGGCTGCTGGGAGCGCTCGAGATGAGACTGCTGGGGGATTGGCTGTTGAAACTGTTGGAGAGAGGAAGGTTGGGACGATTCGAGCGCTTGTGCTCCGAGTCTTGTGTGGCTTGATGCTGATGACCCTCTTCGTCGACGACGAGCAGCTCAGGCCCGAGGTTGGGACGAATGCGCGACCTGGGACGATCGACAGTAGGGGTAGTGGGTGCATCGATGGAAGGGAGGCGAGGCGCCTCTGACGTCGGGGACGGAGCGGGTGTGGAGAAAGCCTCCGAGGCTGGTGTGATGGATGGACCGCGGAGGCGCTTGGCCAAGGAGCTGCCTGGTCTGCCGATGGAGAAGCGGAAGTGCGGTTCTTCCTTGTGAGGCGAGGCGTCGGGCGATTCGGTCTGAGCGCGTAGACGGCCCTTTGCGCGTGAGGCGGCATCAAAGACCTTAGTGACGACGGGATTGCCTGTGATCATGAGCTTGACCTCTCCGATGTGTCCACGAGCCTCGTCGTCGTCGAGGGCACTGTCGCTGCTGTCGTCGTCGGAAGAAGCACCGTGGGCTCGTCTGCGCATACGACGATCATGGCGACCGAATGCCTTGGCTGCGATGGTGATGCCGGTCGACTTTGCCCAGTTGTGTTTGGCTTGCTGTGCCTTTGCGATGCGGTCGAGCTTGTCTCTGGCTGCCTGTGCGTCCTCGTCAGGCGCGCGCTTGGGCAGGCGGCACATGCCATTTTGAGGTTCATCGTCTGGAGTTTGTCTGCGGTCGGCTCCGAAACTCTGTGTTGATGAGCGAGTGTGCTGCAGTACCAGAGGCGGGTCCTCTTCCAATGGGTGGAGTGGCGTCGGCTTGATGGGTGCGATTGGCAGGAGTGAAGTGCTCGCGGTGGCCAGGTCGGGCGAGGCTGCCTCGTAGCCGCTCATTCGAGGGCCGGCCATGATGCTGTCCTGTCCCGTTGTGTCGAGACGGTGCGAGGGAGATGCAAGATCAATCAAGAGCTGCCGGGTGGTGTCCGTGTCGCTGCCATCGTCGGTTTCGTCTTTCGATTCGAATTGGCTGGGTGATGGTGAAGGGCCGAGCGTGTGGGAGCAACAGAGCAACAGAGCAACAGAGCCACCGAGCACCCGAGTGGGTTGGCAGTTGAGCATCCATCGGTCGGTCAATTGACTGAGAGCGCTGTTGGGCGCGCAGCTGTGCATCAATTCTACGAATTTCACTCTTTTCCAGGCACACAGGCTCAGGGGTCGCCGGGATCAACACGCAACAGCCGCCACCGCCGCATGCATGCATGGCCGCCCCAACTGCTCCACATCGCTTCGAATTCGATCTAACAAGCTTAGTAATTTGGCCCTAACCTCCACCTTCTCACTCCCATACACGACTCAGCACGACCAAGAAGGCCGGCTCTCGCTTCCATCCCCACGATAACTTTGGCGCATCGCCCGCTCAATCAAGATGGCCGACATCGACGCCGCATTCGACGATGCTTACCGCACTCACCGCATCGAGGCGGGCGACGATCCACAAACGCTTCCGAATCCTTACTCGCGGCCCACTCTCGGCGAGGTGGCAGCTGGTCCAGACCACACAGGCGCGGGAGTCGGCGGAGGCTTCATGGTCGACGATGCAGCCGAACACCAGGAAGCTGGAGGCGGGTTCATGACCGACGATGCACCAGGTGGATTCATGGTCGACGACGACGACATCGAGTCGGCTCGAGCTGGGGATGGCGACGACGACGGTCTGGGCTCTTCATCTCCGCGTGTCACCCAACCCAACGCGATTCCACTTAGTGCCATCCCCGAGGCGCTCGCTAACCTCGGACTCGACTCGACCGACTCATCCGTACTATCGCTTTTTGCCGAGACAGCCTATGTCCCCTCCTCGGCCTCCCGCCGGCGATTGGCTCCGGGTGTCAAGCCGGACAAGGTGGTGGGCAGGCAAGAGTTTCAGCAGGTGGCTGCGGTGCTGCTCCAAGAGCAGCGGGACAGGTCTACAAAGAGGCAGCGCAGCCCAAAAGGCCGTAGTCGAGGCCAAGTGGACGAAGACGATGCGTCTTCCACCACGGGGCGCCGCCCCACGCGGCGTGCTGCGGTGAAAGGGCGGCAAAAGGCAGCGGCGATCATTGACGACGCGGACGACGCGGATGCTGATGCTGCGGCTGGTGGCGGAGGCGGCTTCATTGTCGACGATGCTGACGATTCGGAAGACGAATTTTCAGCATCAACTTCGCGGCGTCGGCGCCAATCCGGCGCCTCGGCGCGACTCGATACAGGCTCGGATCTGACCGACGATGATGATGACCAAGACGAAGACTTTGAGACTCGCGATGCATCACTTCGGCGACGCAGACGTGGGGGTGGCCGTGCACAGCGCTCTCCCACTCCCTCTGACGACCTCAGCGACGGCGGCACTGACTCGGGTCCCTCGTCCAAGCGGCAGCGACGCGGACGCAAGGACGCCGCGCCTTCGATCCGCTCCACCACACACCTGAATCCGCTGCAGCGCGAAAACGCATCGGCACTCTACTCGCTTCTGCTCGAACAACTGCCTGCTTCCACACTGCCCGCATCGCAACGCCGCATTGGGACCGACGCGATCACCACGATCATCCGAGCCATTGGCGAAAAGATCCCGTCCAAGGAGATTGAAGAGATGGTAGAAGAGGGCGCCAAGCTCTTTGCTCCCGCCACCGCCGCGGACCAAGACGACGACGCCCAAGCCACGCGCAAATCCACACAGGCCATCAAAGGTGCCGCCGCCGCCCAGGGCATCTCGGGCCCCAGCATAGGTCTCGACGAGTTTGCAGGAATCCTCGTCCACAACCGTCTCATCTGATCCACATCACCAACCAATCAATCGGATCAAAAGTTGGAATTCAAAAAGCAAGCGTACAAAGTCGACAAGCTGATCAAAAGGTCGTCAGATCGGTGTGAGCACCATCTGATGCGGCAAGGCAACAAAGATGTAGCAGTGGCGAGAAAAGGAGATCGTAGCCGATCGATGAAACAGGAAAAAAACCGAAACCTTGAATAGCAAACGCGGATCCAGGGACTCTTTATGGGCGCTCGGTCCCGAGCATAACCCTTTAGCGCAGACGACGCTTCTCGAACGAGACAAAGACGAGGTTGTACCTCTCGAACTCGTACGCGATTCGGTCGGTGCGCTTATATCCCTTGAGCGTGAGCGCGTGCAGGATATCCTCGTTGGTCAGCGGCGCCTTGGCAGCCCCAGCCTTGGCAGCCGCCGCCGCCGCCTCTTCGGCCTCGATCGCATCGTCGTCCGAAGTGGACACGAACAGGGTGACCGACATCTTGCCCGGCTCGAAAATGTCCACCACACGCCTCACCAGCGTAGGCAGGCTGGTGGGCAGAGCCAGCGTTGTCTGCTCGCCATCCGAGGTGCTGTTGGAGCACAGAGCCACGTTGGTCTCGAACGACGCAAACGACGAGTCCTCCTCGGGCGTCACGTGGATCGTCCAGTAGCCGGCATTGTCGTTCTTGCCGCCGCGCGGCATGACCGCATTGGCCGAGTAGCCGCACGGCTCAAACGCAAAAGCGTCGATCTCGGTCTCGGGCAAGAGCTGGGTGAGTCCGAGCTTGTTGGACAGCGCCAGACCGAGCGCGTGGCCCTTGTCGAGCCCAACGGCCGCCTCCGCCTCGGCACCGCTGAGCTGCTTGCCCGGATAGCACTCGGCCACGCTCGGGTACGGCAGGTTCTCGCCAAAGACGAATCGAGCGCACGAGGCGGGCGAGAGGTGCGTCATGAGGATCTCGAGCGTCTGGTCCTCCACGCACGGCGCCGGCAGAGCGAGCGGACGCTCCACCGCGGCGGCGGTGACGAGCGGCCGCTCGGCCTCGCGCGCCCCCTCGCAGCCCATCCAGAGCAGCCAGTGGTCGCCGTTCATCTTGCCGACGGTGTAGGCGGATCCGTAGTCGAAGAAGCGGTCCAGCACCGCCACCTCGAGCATCCAGTCGCGGTGCGGACCCTTCTGGCGCTCGGGAAACATGAAGCTCTTGCGGCTGTAGAAGGCGTGCTTGACCACAGCGCCGAGCTGACGCTCGTGCACGTAGCTCGAGTCGGACATGGCAGTGGATGCCTCGTCCATGTCGTCGTCGCGCGAGGCGTCCGAGCCGTTCGACTCGACCGTCGTGAGCTTGGCGAAGCTCGGCGAAACCGATAGACCTGCGAGCGCCCTGGTCGCGATCGTCAGAAGCTTCTCGAGGCCCAGCAGGAGCGTGGTGGTGCCGCACGTCTTTAGGATGAGCTTGTGCGGGAAGACGAACATGGACGATTCGCTGAGCAGGTAGGCATCCACGTGCGAGCTCTCGATGACGCTGAGCACCTTGCACTTGACGACGTCGAGCATGGTCTCCCATACGGCCTCGGGGACGGTGCGCAGGCCAAAGTAGCCGGGGCGTGCGTCGGCGTCAGGCCACTGGCAGGCGCTCACATCGGCGGGCTCCTCGGCGAACCAGAGCTCGAGGAGCTTCTCGGGACCCTCAAAGGGGCCGCAGGGATCGTGGAAGTCCTCGTGCACCTTTTCAGGGCTGCCGCTGTTGGAGTCTACGGCGGTGATGATGCTGGAGGCGTCGTCCTGGAACTTGGAGCGCAGCAGCTCGGCGCGAGCGTCCATGATTTCGAGCGACTTGATGCGCTGCGCCTCCTTGGCCTCGACAAGGAGGTCGGCGGTGTCCTTGTGGTGAAGGAGGTGGTGATGGTGGTGGTGGTTGTTTTGGTGGTTGTTGAAAGAGTCGATACGGTTGGCAGTAGCCTCAAGGTCGATGGCGGGTGTCATCGTGGTTGGTGATGGAGGTAGAGTGGGGCCGAGGTGAGGAGGTTGAGGCTGATGTCAAAGGGAAGGCGGAGGTGATGTTGAATCTGAAGGTTCTGGAGGTTGGTGGGAGGCGGATCGGGAGCCTTGGGGAGGGGAAGGAGGATGGCGTGGATGGGCTGGAAGGGGAGGGCGGTGGAAGTGAGCTGCTTGGACGACGTCAGCAGAGGGCGGAGCGGAGCGCTAGATGGGGATGGAGACGAGGATGGACGGTGTATGCAGGATCTATTATTACCACTACTATCGTCGGAGTCGTCTGACGGCATGGAAGGAAGGCGAGGCGTGGATGAAGTCCAACAGGGTTGCTAGCTCCTGGAGTGCAGGAGAAAGGATGACGGGTGCCGGCTGTGGGCGTAAGATGGGGTTGCGCTTGGGCGGCGAAGATGGAGACGAAGGACGAGTAGGGTGTCCTTGCGAGTCGGGCTTTGAGCTGGAGAGTGCACAAGTGAAGATGCGAAAAGAGATGATGGGGTTGGTGAAGAAGGTGCTTGCAGGATGAGGAGCAGATGTCCAGGCCACGGAATCCTGCCGAGCCAAAGGCGGGGCGAGCAGAAAAAAGGGCGAGACACACAGAGGAGCACTTGCTGCGATGAGCACTGTCTCGCTGCCAATCGAGTGGTGCAAAAGACTGGTGGGCTGTGGGTAGAAAAATTTGAAATTTGGGCAACGAGCAGACGACCGATGACGGGCCAAATTGGCTCCCTCTCATGCGCCTTCTCGGCTTCGCATCAGGAACGGCAGCTTCACCTCGTTCTTCGCGGCCGTGGCCGATCGGCTGCCGAAAATATGCGCTCGACGTTCTTCTGATGGCCCGACCCATCGCATCTTGCACGCGTCGGCATCGTGCCAAGAAAATCATCAAGTTGAAAGCAAAGGTCTAACATTGTTTCTTTTTCTTTACGGCCGTGGCTCATCTCGGATCCTCACCCCCATCTGGATGTATGCAGCCCCGATTTGGAGGCGCAGCCGCCCTTGCGACTCGAGCTGTGGCGCTCTCCCGTGCTTGCTTGCTTGCCAGCTGTTGTCAAGACAAGACAAGCCCGTGAGCCCATGCTACTGGAAGAGAATGCTCGCGCAAGAACAACCGAACGCCGCACCAGTCCCGTTGCTTCGCATGAGCGCCATGTTGCTCTCAACCCTGTTGTAGCCTCCATACTCGTAGCTTGTCAACTTGATCCTTTCCAGTGCAGCCACCGAGGGTCCGAGGGCCTAAAAAGAGGTCTGTGTTAGATGCGAGGCATCGTACGTGCAGGTAGTGATGGGCTCTGCAGCCGGGTCTCGCTTCGAGCCTGTCGCACGCAAAGTGCCATACTGCCGCTGGAAGCACGGCGGGGTCTGATGCCACATTTCGCTTTCCCGCGATCCAGCCCGTCGTGCCGAAATTGTCGATTGGCACCGCTCAAAAAACGCCGTGCAGCCGACTGCTTGGCTACACAAGGCGGCGCCAGACCAACACCAAAATCTCGCATGCACCTTGCCCTCCTTGCGCGTGTGTTTCATCCGCCATGCGCCAACGCCGCCCGCCCGCCC